CGGGGCGTAGCCAGTGCGTCTGCAGCATCTCCTCCTCCACTTCCTTCCCGCAAGTCCTGGAAGACTGCTGGCTGGCAGCAATTGCTGCTGCTGCTGCAGCAGGCGGTGCTGCAGCAGCAGCAGCAGCAGCAGCAGCGGGATCACGACATGTCGTTGTTGGTCTCTGCTGCTGGGGCGTAGCCAGTGGTCCGCTGCATCACCTCCTCCACTTCTTCCCGCAAGTCCTGGAAGACGTTGCTGGCAGCAATTGCTGCTGCTGCTGCAGCAGGCGGTGCTGCAGCAGCAGCAGCAGCAGCAGCAGCGGGATCACGACATGTCGTTGTTGGTCTCTGCTGCTGGGGCGTAGCCAGTGGTCCGCTGCATCACCTCCTCCACTTCTTCCCGCAAGTCCTGGAAGACGTTGCTGGCAGCAATTGCTGCTGCTGCTGCAGCATGCGGTGCTGCAGCAGCAGCAGCAGCAGCAGCAGCAGCAGCGGGATCACGACATGTCGTTGTTGGTCTCTGCTGCTGGGGCGTAGCCAGTGGTCCGCTGCATCACCTCCTCCACTTCTTCCCGCAAGTCCTGGAAGACGTTGCTGGCAGCAATTGCTGCTGCTGCTGCAGCAGGCGGTGCTGCAGCAGCAGCAGCAGCAGCAGCAGCAGCGGGATCACGACATGTCGTTGTTGGTCTCTGCTGCTGGGGCGTAGCCAGTGGTCCGCTGCATCACCTCCTCCACTTCCTCCCGCAAGTCCTGGAAGACGTTGCTGGCAGCAATTGCTGCTGCTGCTGCAGCAGGCGGTGCAGCAGCAGCAGCAGCAGCAGCAGCAGCAGCAGCGGGATCACGACATGTCGTTGTTGGTCTCTGCTGCTGGGGCGTAGCCAGTGGTCCGCTGCATCACCTCCTCCACTTCTTCCCGCAAGTCCTGGAAGACGCTGCTGGCAGCAATTGCTGCTGCTGCTGCAGCAGGCGGTGCTGCTGCAGCAGCAGCAGCAGCAGCAGCGGGATCACGACATGTCGTTGTTGGTCTCTGCTGCTGGGGCGCAGCCAGTGGTCCGCTGCATCACCTCCTCCACTTCTTCCCGCAAGTCCTGGAAGACGTTGCTGGCAGCAATTGCTGCTGCTGCTGCAGCAGGCGGTGCTGCAGCAGCAGCAGCAGCAGCAGCAGCGGGATCACGACATGTCGTTGTTGGTCTCTGCTGCTGGGGCGTAGCCAGTGGTCCGCTGCATCACCTCCTCCACTTCTTCCCGCAAGTCCTGGAAGACGTTGCTGGCAGCAATTGCTGCTGCTGCTGCAGCAGGCGGTGCTGCAGCAGCAGCAGCAGCAGCAGCAGCGGGATCACGACATGTCGTTGTTGGTCTCTGCTGCTGGGGCGTAGCCAGTGGTCCGCTGCATCACCTCCTCCACTTCTTCCCGCAAGTCCTGGAAGACGTTGCTGGCAGCAATTGCTGCTGCTGCTGCAGCAGGCGGTGCTGCAGCAGCAGCAGCAGCAGCAGCAGCAGCGGGATCACGACATGTCGTTGTTGGTCTCTGCTGCTGGGGCGTAGCCAGTGGTCCGCTGCATCACCTCCTCCACTTCTTCCCGCAAGTCCTGGAAGACGTTGCTGGCAGCAATTGCTGCTGCTGCTGCAGCAGGCGGTGCTGCAGCAGCAGCAGCAGCAGCAGCAGCGGGATCACGACATGTCGTTGTTGGTCTCTGCTGCTGGGGCGTAGCCAGTGGTCCGCTGCATCACCTCCTCCACTTCTTCCCGCAAGTCCTGGAAGACGTTGCTGGCAGCAATTGCTGCTGCTGCTGCAGCAGGCGGTGCTGCAGCAGCAGCAGCAGCAGCAGCAGCGGGATCACGACATGTCGTTGTTGGTCTCTGCTGCTGGGGCGTAGCCAGTGGTCCGCTGCATCACCTCCTCCACTTCTTCCCGCAAGTCCTGGAAGACGTTGCTGGCAGCAATTGCTGCTGCTGCTGCAGCAGGCGGTGCTGCAGCAGCAGCAGCAGCAGCAGCAGCGGGATCACGACATGTCGGTGTTGGACTCTGCTGCTGGGGCGTAGCCAGTGGTCCGCTGCATCACCTCCTCCACTTCTTCCCGCAAGTCCTGGAAGACGTTGCTGGCAGCAATTGCTGCTGCTGCTGCAGCAGGCGGTGCTGCAGCACCAGCAGCAGCAGCAGCAGCAGCAGCGGGATCACGACATGTCGTTGTTGGTCTCTGCTGATGGGGCGTAGCCAGTGGTCCGTTGCATCACCTCCTCCACTTCTTCCCGCAAGTCGTGGAAGACGTTGATGGCAGCAATTGCTGCTGCTGCTGCAGCAGGCGGTGCTGCAGCAGCAGCAGCAGCAGCAGCAGCGGGATCACGACATGTCGTTGTTGGTCTCTGCTGCTGGGGCGTAGCCAGTGGTCCGCTGCATCACCTCCTCCACTTCTTCCCGCAAGTCCTGGAAGACGTTGCTGGCAGCAATTGCTGCTGCTGCTGCAGCAGGCGGTGCTGCAGCAGCAGCAGCAGCAGCAGCAGCGGGATCACGACATGTCGTTGTTGGTCTCTGCTGCTGGGGCGTAGCCAGTGGTCCGCTGCATCACCTCCTCCACTTCCTCCCGCAAGTCCTGGAAGACGTTGCTGGCAGCAATTGCTGCTGCTGCTGCAGCAGGCGGTGCTGCAGCAGCAGCAGCAGCAGCAGCAGCAGCGGGATCACGACATGTCGTTGTTGGTCTCTGCTGCTGGGGCGTAGCCAGTGGTCCGCTGCATCACCTCCTCCACTTCTTCCCGCAAGTCCTGGAAGACGTTGCTGGCAGCAATTGCTGCTGCTGCTGCAGCAGGCGGTGCTGCAGCAGCAGCAGCAGCAGCAGCAGCAGCGGGATCACGACATGTCGTTGTTGGTCTCTGCTGCTGGGGCGTAGCCAGTGGTCCGCTGCATCACCTCCTCCACTTCTTCCCGCAAGTCCTGGAAGACGCTGCTGGCAGCAATTGCTGCTGCTGCTGCAGCAGGAGGCGGTGCAGCAGCAGCAGCAGCAGCTGGAGCTGCAGCAGCAGCAGCAGCAGCAGCAGCGGGATCACGACATGTCGTTGTTGGTCTCTGCTGCTGGGGCGTAGCCAGTGGTCCGCTGCATCACATCCTCCACTTCTTCCCGCAAGTCCTGGAAGACGTTGCTGGCAGCAATTGCTGCTGCTGCTGCAGCAGGCGGTGCTGCAGCAGCAGCAGCAGCAGCAGCAGCGGGATCACGACATGTCGTTGTTGGTCTCTGCTGCTGGGGCGTAGCCAGTGGTCCGCTGCATCACCTCCTCCACTTCTTCCCGCAAGTCCTGGAAGACGTTGCTGGCAGCAATTGCTGCTGCTGCTGCAGCAGGCGGTGCTGCAGCAGCAGCAGCAGCAGCAGCAGCGGGATCACGACATGTCGTTGTTGGTCTCTGCTGCTGGGGCGTAGCCAGTGGTCCGCTGCATCACCTCCTCCACTTCTTCCCGCAAGTCCTGGAAGACGTTGCTGGCAGCAATTGCTGCTGCTGCTGCAGCAGGCGGTGCTGCAGCAGCAGCAGCAGCAGCAGCAGCAGCGGGATCACGACATGTCGTTGTTGGTCTCTGCTGCTGGGGCGTAGCCCGTGGTCCGCTGCATCACCTCCTCCACTTCCTCCCGCAAGTCCTGGAAGACGTTGCTGGCAGCAATTGCTGCCAGCACTTTGCTGAAGTCGTTGCCCTGCAGCAGCTGCTGCGCGTTGTCTTGAATTAGCTGCGAAACTTGTTCGCGCAGAAAAGAGTTGTCTTCCAGCACTCTTCGGAGGGAAAAGAAGTACAGCAGAATGGCCAGCAAAGCCTCCTCGTCTTCGGGCTGCGAGAGCTCGGACTGCAGCAGCAGCCGCAGCGCCTGCTGCGGGTTGCTGCTGGGCGCTGCTGCCAGCAGCTGCTGCGCCTCCGGCCGCCCCAGCAGCCCCCCCAGCAGCTGCAGCGCCCGCTGCACGAAGGCCACGTCCAGGGGCTCTTCGGAGTCTCCGAGTTCGTTTCCGAGGGCCCCCAGGCGCCCCGCGATGGCCTCCAGGTCTGCTGCAGTTAGCTGCGACAGGCCTCCGAAGGGGCCCCGAAAAAACGCGCCCGGGGGGCCCCCGGGGCCCCCGGGGGCCTCCGCGGCTGCAGCAGCAGCAGCAGCAGCAGCAGCAGCGAAGGCCCGGTGGGGCGAGGGGCCGCACGCGCGGGCGGCGGGGTGGGGAGCGGGACGCTGGGCGCGAGGGAAGCAGCAGCAGCAGCAGCAGCAGCAGCAACAGCAGCAGCAGCAGCAGCAGCGGCAGCAGAGGGGGAAGGGTGCGCAGCTGCAGGGAGAGGCACTCGGGGGAACTTACCGGAAGAGGAGGCCGCCGCCTGAGATAAACCCAAAAGGGAAATCAGAGAAAATGCCAGAGACCTCATTTTGCTGCTGCTCCTGCTGCTGCTGCTGCTGCTGCTGCTGCGGTTCCTGCTGTTGCTGCTGCTGCGCCAACTCCTCAAAGATCAAGCAGGGTTCCTGCGGCTGCTGCTCGAGAACTGAAGAAGGGAAATGCTCCTGCTACCAATCGCCAAAAAGGAAAGTAAAAAAAGGAAAAGAAACAACTCCGAAAGTCCCGCGAAACGCCAAACAAACCCCAAGGCTCTTGCCTTCTGCTGCTGCTGCTGCTGCTGCTGCTGCTCCTGCTCCTGTGACGGAACAGAACAGAAGCTGCAGGGGCGGCTCTCGGGATGCAGCAGCAGCAGCAGGGACGCAGCCACAACGCCCTTCTTCTCCTCTAAATCGCCCCTTTTCTTTTTTAAATTAATAATTAAAAACATTTAACTTCTTTTCCTCCAAAATCCCCGCAAAGCCGCGGCTGCGCACACTCCCCCTGCTGCTGCTGCTGCTACGCCCACTCGATTCTGCTGCCAGCCGCGGCAGCGCGGTGCAGCCAGCTGCACCGATTTCAGCTGCTGCCTCCGCTCTTTTTGCTTTAAATTGCTTTTATTAATTAAAAGTGAACTCAAAAACTCCCTCGATTATCCCTGCGGGCCGCAGCGGCGCAGCCTGAGGTGTCCGTACCGCTGCACACCCCGCTGCAGCTCGCCTCCTGCCGCGGGCTCTTCCGCCCGGCGATCCTCCAACTTAGACCCTAATTACTTTTATTTTTTAATTCATTTCGCAATTAAAAGGACTTTTCATACCTTTAAAGCCAATTTATTCCCGTTTTCGCCTCCCGGAGCAGCCGCGCAGCAGCAGCGCAGCAGCAGCGCAGCAGCAGTCGGTCCCAGCGTTGTAGCACAACGCCTCCGGCTCTCCGAGGCCCTGCAACACAGCAACCACTCAGGGAAACTTCTTGCTGCTGCTGCTGCTGCTGCTACTGTCGCTGCTGCTGTTGCTGCTGCTGCTGCTGCTGGTAGATTGCTGGTTTGCCCTCGACTTCCGGCTTCTGTGCTGCGCTGCAGCAGCTCAGGACTGCTGCTGCAGCACAACAGCAGCTTTCTGCTGCCTCCAAAACGCGTTATTCGAGCTTAAATAGTCTTTTGAAAGTCAGAGCTTTCTGTAGAAAGCGCAGAATGCTGCAGTGCCGAGAGCTGCACCCTCTAGGGTTTAGGGTTTAGGGTTTAGGGTTTAGGCTCGCTGGCATCTCTGCAGCACACTCAGCCCTTTCAACTAAGCAGCAGCAGCTGCTTTGCTCGAAGCTGCTCAAAGCCCAAAAGAAGACAAGTCCGCATGCAAGAAGTTCATATATATTTTATATTAAATAATAATATATAATATAAAATGTACATACAAAATATATATATTAATATTATATATTATAGATACATACGTTATATATATATTATATATATATTTATATATAATATGTATATAATGTATATTTATAATATATTTATATATATATATGTATGTTCCTGAATATATAAATATATATATAAGAGCCTGAACCCTAAACCCTAAACCCTTAGCGCTGAACGCTAAACCCTAATCGCTAAAGGTTAAGCCCTAAACCCTGGACATTAAAGGCTAAACCCTAACCCTAAACCCTAACCCTAAACCCTAAACCCTAGACGCAGCTGAGACGGCCTGGAACATCAAAAAGAATATAATTGGAATTCATCAATTCATTTTTTAAAAATATAATTTTTTAATTTTAGAAATGTCATCTTAAAAATAAATTTAATTTCTAAATTCTAAAAACCCTTAAAACTTCTTCGAACTTTAGAACGAGGGAAGACGCAAAGCTGACTGGCTGCTGCTGCTTCTGCTGCTGCTGCTGCTGCTGCTCGGGGGCAGCTGGAGTTCTCCTGCTGCTGCTTGTCTTTGCTCTATTTCCTTTTTATTTTTTAAATTCTTGCTTAGCTAAAATGCATTTCTTGAAACGAAAGAACAAAAGGTTTAAATTTGAAAAATCTTGGATTAAACTTTTCCTCTTTTTGAGTGACAGGGCAGCTAAACCCAAATTTATGGTTTTTGCGATATTTTGAAATCAACAGGAAAATACTATTTCAGCGAAGAGAGCTGCTGCGAGCTCCAAGTGTTCCTCTGCAGCAGGGGCTTTTGCCGCTGCTGCTGCTGCTTCTGCTGCTGCTGCTGCTGCTGCTTCTGCTGCTGCTGCTGCTTCTCCTGCTGCTGCTGCTGCTGGGTGTCTCTGAAACGAACGAAAACGCAATGCTGCAAAACCCTAAACCCCAAACCCTCGAGTTGCTTCTGTCTGTTGCTTCGCACTGAGTCTTTCTAGGGTTTGCTGCTTGCTGTGGGACCTGGAGTCAAAACCCTTTTTTAGGGTTTAGAAATAAACAAAGCTGCTGCATTTTTATCTGGTTTTATTTTCCATTTTCCTGCAGCAAAAGGGGCAGATAAAAGAGCCAAAAGAGCTGCAAAGGCAATTCTGCGCTGAGACAGAAAAACCCTAAACCCTAAACCCTAAACCCTATCCCCGCCTTCAAACCCTAAACCCTAGAGCTGCAAGCCCTAAACCCTAAACCCCAAACCCTGAACGCTAAACGCTAAACTCTAAAGCCTAAACCCTCAGCCTTTTGAACATAATGAGGAGTTGCCCAAGGCATATTGGTGAATTAATCCTTAATCACCAAAATTAATTAAATTAAATTAAATCAAATTAAATTAAATTTAACTAAATTGAATTAAATATTAATTATTTAAACCTCTTCAAATGAAAAAGAATAAGTTCTGAAGAAGGAGTGGCCCATTCCATTTTCCCGCTGCTGCTGCCTCCCCGCTGCGGCAAGCCGCACACAGCAGCGGCGACTGGCAGCAGCAACTTGACGGGGATTTTGTGACTATTGACTGAGTTAATTATAAATAAAATTAAATAAATTATAAACATTAAATTAAATCATTCAAAATAATTGCAAATGTGGCATTTTAAACGAAAAAACATCAAGTTCCTTCCGCAGCTTTCCACGCCCAGCCCAAGCCCCATGTTTCAGACCAGTCGGCAGAGGCTTTTGCATGCTGTGTAAGTGTTCTCTTTGCGCATGCAAAGAAAACAATTTAAGATTAAAATATTTTATTTTAAAATGTTTTAATTCAAGTTTTTATTTTTCTGCAAATACCACGAAACACAAACTTCTGAGGTGTACATCCACCTCGCGCTTGAACGATGGCGCTCGCGCCGTCGACTTGCATCTTTGTGTCCAACACAAAACATTTATTTGTTCTTCCGAAACATCTTCGCCACTCTTCTTTCTTTTCCCATTTTGCTTCAGACAAAAGGCTCTTTTCTCCTTCTTTCCCCCTCGCAGCTGCCGCTGCATGCACACCGACATTTCCAGGCTTCCGCCGCAACCCCAGCATCAGCCCCGCTGCTCCACCTGCTGCTGCTGCTGCAGCAGCAGGTGCTGCAGCAGCAGCAGCAGCAACAGCAGCAGCAGCAGCAGACGGCCGGCAAGGTTGTTGGGCGTCTCGGGCAGGCAGAGGGCCGAGCCTGCCACGTGCCCATGTTGCTAACACCACTAGCAGCAGCTGCTGCAGCAGCAGCTGCTGCAGCAGCAGCTGCAGCAGTGTGTTAGGCAGAGCAGCGCAGGCAGCAGAGGCGCTGCAGCGCCGCCACTTTTCCTCAGGAATGAGGAACACCAAAGCTGGTACGTTGCAGCCCGAAGCCCTAAACCCTAAGCCCTAAGCCCTAAACCCTAAACCCTAGTACCTAATCCCCCGAGAGCCCCTGAGCTGCAGCTGAGTCGCGGAGGCACTCCCGACTGCAGCAGCAGCAGCAGCAGCAACTGCTGCTGCTGCTGCTGCTGCAGTCGCTGCTGGGCAGCCGGAAGCGCTCGAGTAGGCCAGCAGGCAGAGCGAGGTAAGCAGCAGCAGCAGCAGCAGCAACAGCAGCGCAGCAGCAGCAGCAGCAGCAGGGCGAGTCTGTGCGCTGCCGCGGCGGAACTTGGAGCTGTTAGGATGAAATTGAGCAGCTTCTAAGTTGGCGTTTGGCTCCGTTTGCTGCTGGAGGAAGAAAGGAAGCAAAAGAAGAAAAGAAGCAAAAGTTGGATTTTGCAATTTTGAAATTCAGGAATTAAAAACCCTTTTTGGAGACGCAGGGGCTTCTGGGAGTGGCGCCGCCGCGAGATCACCGCGAGCAACAGACGCATGCGTTTTCGGAAGCACATTTTCCCCCGCGTTTCGGATTCTTATTTGCCAACTGACCATCCTTTAAACCCTGCTGCTGCTGCTGCTGCTGCTGCAGCAGCAGCAGCAGCAGCAGCAGCAGCAGGAGCAGGAGGAGGATGAGAATGCGAATCGGG